TCTCTCTCTCACACACACACACACACACACACACACACACACACACACACACACACACACACACACACACGAAAAAATCATCACATTTAACACACACGCACAACGCCCGTCTAAGAGGTGGTCGCGCTATGTAGCTTACCGTTATTCAAATGCATAAAAAGTGTGACCACCTCTTCGATAGCTCTCTCTCTCTATCTTTCTCTCTCGTGCAAGGTTAAAGGCCTAACGCATGTCGAAAAGGTGGTCATGCTCATTTTGACAAACGAGGATTAAGTACCTCGAGAGCGGAGTGTCCCTCTCTTTCTGAAATCTATTTAGTTTTGCAAACCTTATGAGCGACTTGGGCAAGACTCATCGTTTTGACACAGACTCGACACACAAAGTTTTGATGGAAGTACTTCGTCAAGCATAGAGGCGAGTTACGCAAACTTATAAGGAATTGAGGAATCAAAACTCAATGCCGACTTCCGCTAAGTTTCTCACAGAATACCATCCATGTTTTCACGCTCACGCTGATGCAATCGCCGACAACCTGTCGAACATGTGATATAAATGATTAACATAACACGGTTAAATAAATTAAAAGCGCGACCACCTCTTCGACAAGTTAGCAGTATTCCATATTTTTTTCGTACACACATGCTGAGACACGTAATTGGATGACGTGCACTATTTTGCAACTTATATGAGTATATCATCATATCATATTCATAAACAAGATCCTGAAATGTTTAGGTTAATTCATGCATATTATCAACGTTTCAGAAGCATTGAACTTTGTTCTTCCAATATTATCGATACGTAAAAAACGATGTTCGCACACTCACAGCAACGTTGAATAAACGATAATGCAAGTTGGCAACAAATATTTTTGTGGTAACGTTTATATAAACGTTGCTGTTCAACATTAACGTTGCCAAGACCCGAAAATCAACACAATGTTTTTTCTGTTGTTACAAAAATCCTTGGCACACCCCATCTCGCTGTTTTTCGGGGCCTCCCTTCCGCACCTTTAGTACTCCGAACGAAAGACAGTGCAGGGCGTGAGGTTCCGCGTCACATATATCCTGGTATAGGGAAGGCTGTGACGAACCACTTCCCGAACCCGGGCTATCTTTCGTACCCCTCCTTTCTGTATCATATCAACCCCATGAAAACCCCTGTTTCGTTTTCTTGATTTTGGGTGTCGCGTTTTCAACGGTCTTTTCGATTTCCGAGTTCGACTTTTTCCTTTTGCAATTCGGAAAATACTTGAGAATTTACGAGTGCCTTAGCGAGCGCACTGGGAATTGGGCCCGACAGTTGGGATTTTCGGGATAAGCGGAACTTCGACGTGTCCTTTTTGTGTGTGAATGTTCTCGGTCGCGTCGGGGAAAACTCTCGGAATTTTGCAAGGATATGAATAGGCGTAGAACTTTCTTTTCCCGCGCTGCTCTTTCGCGTGCGGATATGGTGATTTCAATTTTGAATTGGCTTAGGACAAAGGCAAGCTGTAACTGTTTCGGTGCCTTTTTCTTTTGTTCTTTTTGTTGACGGCGCCACGCATGCAAAAACTTTCTCCTCTCTATCCCCCGCATCGCTCTCTCCCGCGCTCCTTTTTCCTTCCCCCTTTCTCCTCTTCTCTCCTCGTAACTGTTTTTCTCCCTCCCTTTCTCTCTCCCGCTCAGTTCTATGCGCGCCCATTCCCCCTTTCTTGATCATATGAATCTTGGACCCGTCTTGCGCTACTTCTCGCGCCTTTTCTTCTCTCTGAGCAAAGCTCGTGAAGTCCGGTCAATCCTTCGATTACTCTCGCCCACCAATCAGACGCGGGGTACGGTAGGATCTCCCTATCGCGCGACGAGTCTGATTGGTTAATCGGGAGTTTCGAAGCATCAACATGGCTTCCGCCAAGCGCTCTTCTCAAAGTCTTATCCTCCTGCTTCTCCTCTTACACTTCGACTTTCCCCCTACATTCTCCTTCTCTTGCCTCCCTCCTCGCTGCTATAAATTCCACAAGCGCGCCCGCAAATCTCTCTTACGTTCTCGACTCTCAAGCCAGCTTCCGGGAAGCAGTGGCTAGACAGAGTGTTTGGTGCAAGTCGGAAAGTCCTGTCGGGTTGACGATAGGCTGGCCGGTTGCGCGCTTGATCGCCACGACGAACTGTGGGATCGAGGCGAACCATGCAGAGTTTACGTCGGCGGGGTGACGATCGCGGTGGTGGGAGTTAGCACGCGACGGCCGGGTTCGTCGGTGCGGGTATGAGGATCGACGATTGGAGTTGAGTGAGTGATTGGCCTGGGGCCATGTGAAATCCACGGCGAATGCACCTTTGTTGTTGCGGATCTTTATCTCTGGTGTGAACATGCGGCGGCAACGCCGAACATTGTCTTTTTGATCTCGTCCCCTTCTCTTCTCTCATCTATTTGTGAATGATGAAGTGTCTCTCCCTCCCTCTCTCTCTCTCGCTCTCAAATGGAAATGAGTCTGCATACTGTTCCTGTGTAAAAGAACTTCTTCCGGAACTCTTCCATTAGTTTCCTGGGTAGTCCCCCTATGCAAGGACCCCGCCTTCTTGTCTTGTGAACGGTGAATGCGTGTGTACTATTCAGTGATCCATCTTTTGCCTCGGTGCATATTTCATTTTCGCACCTTCCACAGTGAATGTATGTATAGAAGCATGCGTCCTTCTCTTTGAAGTTGATTAGACGATTGTTGTCGGGATTTTGTTCAAGAATGCAAGAGTGTTTAGATCTGTAGCTCTTAAGATACTGCGCATGCCATATGTTCAACGTCGCGTTAACTCACTAAACCCGAGCCGCGAGCGGTCCGTTAGTTACATACATGATTAAACTGACGAGTGTTTTCTCCCTCTCTCTCGTGTAGAAAATGATTGATTGAGGATTGCGTGAGTGTTTTCTCTTCTTGATAAATATGTGGACTGACAAGTACCCTCCGATCGGGCGTCAGCCTCCCGTACCTCCCGTACCCGCACGGCCTTTTCCCTACGACGAGGAAAGGACACGTGTATGCGAGTGGGACGTACGAGAAGCTATCGCACAGATCGGCGGGCAATACTACTTTCCTCCGGCAAACCGTTGTTAGGGGTTCGTAGAGGCTGGGKTTGTTATTATCGACACACACTTCCCACCCTACTCAATATTGCTCCCCTTTAACGGACTGATCGTCATTCCGTGGACGGCAGTGGCGCCCCATTGACCTCGAACCCTGTGCATAGAGTGCCAGCGTTTCGATCGCTACGAAGCGAAGGGCTTCCACTACCGAATACGGAGTGAGGACGAGCATAAGGAAAGAGCCACGCGTCTGCGACCCTCTACATCAGACTCAGAACTGACCAACGAACGATGACGGGACTTGATCCGAAAACGAGACACGCGAAGCGTGCCGAAGCCCTTCTGCTCTAAACGACGGGTCGTAGCGCGGTGGGAAGCTCGACAATACTTTTTGGATTGAATTTGGATTTTTCTCTTTTCGCGCCGTGCTTGCGCGCGCAGTCCGCGACGAGCGAAGGCAACCGACTTACTTCATCGGACCAACACGGGGGATTTCAGTTCCGTCTGTGTTCCCGCACTCAATTTCCAAAAATCCTTGGCACACCCCATCTTGCTGTTTTTCTGGGCCTCTTTCCGCACAACTAACACTCCGAATGAAAGACAGCACAGGGCGTGAGGTTAGCGCGTCACACTAGGATTTACCCTAGGGTTAGGAGGCCAGAATAGCTGATATAGCATAGTTTATTACAACGTTTACAAATACTAATCATCACCATCATTAGCATCAAGAAAGAACGAGGTGAGTGGGAGAAAGAGATGGTGGGATATCACGTGTCCTACTAGTGAGGGGGCTAGCTGGTAGGATGGGAATAAGGTATAGCAGCAGTAGAGATGGTGGCTCTGCTGCAGTAAGTCTTGCCGGAGTAAGGTAAAGAGGATTGACCGGGGGGGTTGCTGAGTCATTTTCTGAATTCTGCTCATTTCAAAAAAAAAAAAAACCTGGTTGCCAAGGGGGTCCTTAAGAATGATTTATGATTCTGCGGAATCTTAGCAACTCATTTCAGACGGACCCATTGCTGATATACTCAGTGATCTGCGGCTGTTCGATGCCAGAACGACGCTGGCCGGAGCTGGGGTGTTGCCCTGTAACCTGCTGATGCAGGAGTGCGAGGCCTAGTAGAGAGATCTGGGGATGCTTTGGGGTGGGCATTCCAAGGGACAACCAAGGGTTGCTGCGGGGGTGTCTTTTTGCCCTGTAACCCAGGAGGGTGGGGGTGCGAGGCCTGGAAGAGGCGGGCAGGGAGTAAGTCAGGGTGGAGAGTTTTGGAAAGGTTGCTAGGGATGACCAGACCTTTCTCTTGACTCCCAGCCCAAGCCGGGTAATGGCCCCGGTACCTCAATGATTTGTGTAATTCTATATGGGACGCTGGGCCCGGTTCCCAGCACGTGCTGCTCCCCACGAATAGATTGGAGCATTGTCCCAAAAAAAAAAAAAAAAAAAAAAAAAAAGAGAGGCCGGCCACCTCACATGAAGACCGGGGCTGGCAGCATTACCCAGATTCGCTTATGAGTGATCAGTAACACCTCTTATATCATCCTATTTACCACCCAGACCCACTGCACCAAGTGACTCACCTATCTAATGCTATCTTCTACTGGTTTCGGAAAAAGCCGAAGAAGAACGATACATCAGTCACACAAAGAATGCGAACGGCGGGTGGGTAGGGAAGGCCCACAAAAAGGGAGAAGGGAAGAGGGAGCATCGGCTCGCGCGGGCGGGGGACCATGGTCCAGACCACCATAGCTGCGTTCTTGGGAGGTGGTCGGGGGAAAAGGCGACGGGAAGAGGGGTCGGAACATGCAGGAGGGGAGGGAGAGAAGGGGGGAGAAGCGAAGCCAGGGGAGGGGGAGGGGGATGATGATGACAGGCGAGCGTTCCCAGGTCGCGATCCCGACTTGGAGGCAGGCCCTGTGCCGCCGCCGGTCGTGCAACCCGACCGGAAGAGGAACAAGCCTTGCCCGTCCGCCTTCGATGAGGACAAGGTTGTTAACCACGCAGCTCCTGGCTCGGGATCGGGATCGGGATCGGGATCGGGTTCGGGGTTGGGATTGGGATCGGGAAGGAGGTTGAGATCGGGATCTCTCGAGTCCAGCTTGCTCGCAAATGATAGATCAAGAGCGGCGTCACAACGACGAGGAGGAGGAGGAGGAGGAGGAGGAGGAGGAGGAGGTGGCGAGGCAGGAGAGAGAGAGGGGGGAGAGGGAGGAGAAAAAGATCCAGCAGAAGGGTTAGGAGGGGGAGGGAAGACAGTGCGCAGTCGCGATCTGGGGTGGGACGACGTTGCGCACGCCGGAGGGGTGGGGCGAGAGGACAAAAAGGCTGACGGGATCGGGATTGGGATCGAAAGCGGGATTCGGACAGGGGTTGAGAATGCGAATGTTCCCGAAGGTGGGGTTGGCGTTGAGGTCGAGATCGGGACTTGCAGTGGCAGTGGGGAAGGGGTCGTCGGAGGTCAAGCGAATGCATTTAGTCCTGATCCCGTCAATGTGCTGAACAAAGAGCAGAGAAGGCGTATCGAGGTGAACCAGATGACGGCTATGGCGACGCGCGCCATGAAGATCGCCAAACAGCGCGTCGAAGAATCCTTAGGTCCGCCTCTCTCTCCCGTCCCTCCCTTCCCTCCCTTCCCTCCCGATCTCTTCCCCCTCGCCCCCCTCTTTCTCACTAGTTCTCTCTCCATCCCTCCGCCCTCTCTCTCTTCCCCGTCTCTCTCTATATCTCTACCCCTCGTCCCCTCTATCTCCCTCCCAAGCTCTTCTTCTCGTTCCCTCTGCTCCCCTCCCTTCCCAGCTGTCCTTTTCTCTCTCTCTCTCTCTCTCTCTCTCTCTCTCTCTCCCGCGATGTTTTCTTTCTTTCTCTCTCCGCTTCTCTCTCTCTCTCTCTCTCTCTCTCTCTCTCTCTCTCTCCCGCGATGTTTTCTTTCTTTCTCTCTCCGCTTCTTTTTCTCCTCTCTGTTCGTGCCTTCCTTCCCTAATCCCTTGCCTTTTTCTCTCTATCGCCGTCTTCTTGTCGATCTCTCTCCCTCTCTTTCTCTCTCTCTCTCTCTCTCTCTCTCTCTCTCTTTTCCCCCCTCTCTCTCTACTCCACTCTCGCCGTGTCTTTGCCCCTCTTTGTCTCTCTCCGTTCCTTTCTCCGTCTCTTTGTCGATATCGCTCCCTCTCCCTCTTTCCATCGCGGTGTCTCTGTCCCTCTCTGTCTCTCTCCTTCTTTCCTTCCCCTGTGTGCGTGTGTGTGTGTGTGTGTGCGCGCGCCCCTTTGTCTGCGTTGCTGTAGAAGTAAACAGAGCTTACAAGGCAGAAGAGCACAAGACTGGTAAGGCAGATGTTTGGCCAGTGGCACACGACCACCCATATAAAAGCCTGATAGATTGATATATTTTTTGATTGATTGTCTTTTTGATAGATTATTAATTAAACTTTAATCCTGAATAATTAGAGACCCTGACAAAGCATATCCCTGAAATGGAAAGAACTTCCGAACAAATCGTGCACTTTCCTTTTTCAGCCGTCTACGTCTCTGCCCCGGCCGTCCATCGGAAACGAGAAAAAGGTGCAGATCACTGCGTTCCTCCCTCCCTCCCTCCCTCCCTCCCTCCCTTCCCCCTCCTCTCCTCTCCCCAGGGCGAAAAAACGGACAGAGGAGTAGAAAAGAACAGGATAAGCTTGATTGGACATATGGATGCGTTTTCCTATTTGCAGGTGAATCGAGCTGTGAATCGCGGCTCGATTCAGTATTTCAGTGTCCGCTCAGGCTCGGTTCAGGCTCGGTTCAGGCTCGGGTTAGGTTCAGTTCACGCTCGGTTCAGGTTCAGTTCAGGTTCAGTTCAGGCTCTGTTGAGACTCGGTTGAGGCTGGGTTGAGGCTTTTTATGCACCTCTGACTTTTTCCCCCTGACCTTTTTGTGTTCCTCTGACCTTTTCAG